AACCTTTCTAATGTGATGCATGGAATGCCCCTTTCCTCTAAAAATATTCAGACACCAGGAACAACATGAGTCTAGACTTTATTATTCAATGCCCAACACATTTTAATTAAAACACTACAATGTTGTTGATGATCTTGAAACGCATTCAATCTGAAGTAAATTAGTCTTCATGTTAGGAATAATGGATCAAGTTGCCCAATTCATTTTAAAATGGGCTCTGTTGTTAAATCTGTACTTAAGAAGTTATATTTTAAATATTTACAGACTCAAACCTTTTTACAAAATGCTAAATCACCAAAAAGTGACACTTTAATGTTATTTTTTTATTAAATGCTGATTTTTACAGTGTATGTGTATCATACTCCATTTTGGGAGGTAGAAAATTATAGAGGATATTCAAAATGCAACTTCTTGTAAACTAGTGAAACAAATTAGATAAACCCAGAGTACATAATCTTTAGCTCAAAAATTGGTCTTAAATCCCATAAAGAGACAAAAATATGTTGGCAGAGATGATGTTATTGTGCTCAGTATCAACAGGCGACTCTGCACTTTATCTCTGCTTTTGTATTCATGATAGAGGCTAAACAAACAGACCTTTTTGCGCACGGTTTTGTTTACCTATTATGTAAGGTGTGTGTGTGTGTGTGTGTGTGGTGTGTGTGTGTGGTGGTGTTGTGTGTGTGTGTGTGTGTGTTGTGTGTGTGTGTGTGTGTGTGTGTGTGTGTGTGTGTGTGTGTGTGTGTGTGTGTGTGTGTGTGTGTGTGTGTGTGTGTGTGTGTGTGTGTGTGTGTGTGTGTGTGTGTGTTTACATGATACTTACCAGTGGAAGAACACATTGTGCTCTGACCCCCATTGGCTCACATCCTGTTAGATTGGATGACTTGACATTATTATGAGGCGTAGCTTTCCTTTCATGTCTCACTTTAAGTTTTTTTTCTCCCGTACTTGTGACATAACAAACCAAAAGCTCAATTTACAGTAAATGTCACCACACCGGGCTTAAAAGCATAATTTACATAATCTTAGCTTTCTTTCAAAAACTATTTGAATGATTTTCCAACTCTTGAACTAATATCATTAATGCAGATTGGGTCTAATTTCACAAATGTACATTAGTATTAGCATTGTGACCTTGTAGCAGCTTTCATTTTTGCTCTGAATGTACGCAGGTTTCCAGTTTTTTGCAGGTATCATTTACATAACATCCAAATATTGTCTCGTCTTCTTTTCATGATTTTGTTTTGTCCTCATTTTCTTTTCTTTCTATTTTCCCATTCCAAGTTGCTAAGGTATCAACACTGGCAGCCACAGCTAGAAGCCAAACAAAGTCATAAAGCCTAATGTAATAAAGCCCATATTAGAATAAACAAAGCTGAGATCATCAACTCCACACGCACTCTGCTGATAAAATCTCAGTATATTACATTGTTGACTGTTTATCACATTATGAACTTGAAAATCAGTTTTCATCTGGCAGTTGTAAATGTTTCTTACAATCAACAAAACAGGTGAAGACCAATACTAAAAGCAGCAATAAATTGATCCATATAGGAAGTAACTGTATCTGTGTATCCAAATTCTAATCTCTATTGCTCTACAAAAGCTTATAACAACCTTTATTTATACAGTCTAGGATAACAACACATTACTTTTGCATTGGGTGACATGTTCCCCCTCTACCAAAAACAAAGCCACTGAAGCTTATTTTATTTCTATTTCCTACTGTCGTTATTACTCATCAAAGCAGCACATTTGTATTAATCTGCAGTTTCTTGAGTCCCCAAAAAGCGTTTTCTTCTTGCTTGAGAAACATTTCCTTAAACTACAGTGCCTATCTTTTATTGGAAATGATTAAGCATTAAGAGTTTAAATGTATGTCCTGTTAAACTTTACATAAGAACTAATGGGCTTTTGGAAGCTAGAAGTTATTTGAAAGGACACACTGTTGGTTTTGGTCGTTTCTTGGGATTTGTTAATAATAACACACATAGAATAACAGCAGCCTAATCCTTTGATAACGCAATAACACCACCCACTAATGTAATAAGACACTGAAGTTGTTTTTACCATTACATAAGAGACACAACCAGCCTAGTGTTTGCAGTATGAAACTATTTCTTTGTGTGAGTATGTGTGTGTGTTTCTGTGTGTGTTGTGTGCCTTTGTCTCTCTCTTTCCTCTCCTTTCTCCCCTGCCAGTGGACTGGCTGGGCCTGTTTGTTCAGTATCAGATATCAAACTGATACCAAGCCAAAACAGGGATCTGCCTTATTGTCCTCACAGGAAGATGGTCCATTTTTTATTTATTAATGATTACACATTTGCCTCCATTGATCCTGCACTAGCGGTCTAAATTGGCCATTCCCAGATAGAAATAGATCAGATCTGTGCCTTTTATCAGATTTATGAGTGCGCTATCAGCAAGGGAAATGCTAATGTTGACCACTCATGCACAGATTACTGAGACGTGGACATCAATTGATCTGGAAATGCAAAGATCCAGAATTGTTGTGGTAATCAACATCACATACACAACTCAAATGCCAAGGAATACTTCATACTTATTATACAAAAAATAAAAGTGTTTCCACAGCAAGATTTGCATACTTTTACTACATGTATAAGCCAATCGCTAAGAAATAAAAATAAAAGGGAAATTAATAAGGAACAGGTAAAGACAAGTACAAATCAAGAATGATAAGAAAATGGCCGCATCATTTTAAGGAGGAAATAGGAAGTATGAGAATTGTTGGGATTAGAAATGTTATTGTTTACAGTTAGAAAAATTACATTTATATTGTGTTAAATTGTAAAATTACTCCACTTTAGAAATTCCTTGGCTAACAGAATAAATCCTGCTCTGATGAGACTTTTCCATGGCATGCGACAGTTTAAATTGTTAATTTGATTTTCTTGTTTTTTTTCTTTTCATATTGTAAATGTGCTGCAAACATAAGAAAAGCCGTTATAATGAAGACTACTGAAATGCATTGTGGCAGCTGTTGTGAAGATGATGGCAGCAGTGGTGATGATAATGGGGAGGATAATGATAATGATGAGGAGGATGATGATGATCACAGTGCGGCTGGATGTGAGGGTGACGGCAGTGACGGAGGCATGATGATAATAACTGAGCAGTGGGGATAATGTGACGTGGAAGGCGGGGAGCTCAAGCAGAGAGCTAAAGGTTGCTTTGTTTTGTTGTTTTGATCACTAACACACTTCACCTTTTCCACACAAAGTTCACGACTTCACCAGGCGAGCGTTTGAAGTGCGTGTGTGTGTGTGTTTTCGTACAGTGTTTACTCAGGTGTTGTGTCTCCCCCTGCTTGAAAGTGTGTGTGTTTAGTGTGTATATTACCTTGTTTTCAAAGGCTTAATTGTCATATGCACAGCTACAGCGTAGATATGCAACGAAAAACTTTATTCACACAGGCTCCTCCAACAATGCAAACATCAATATATTTAAGACATAAAACTAATCAAACAACTATAAATTAGAAGGAACAGAGTAGAAATATAATAGTGCAAGAGAATGTTGCAAGACTAATACAGTTCAAGTAATGCAGGAGAAGTTAACTTATGTATGTAGAATAGAATATGATGAGGCATTGTGCAAGAGTATTCAGAGGTTTTTACACAGGGCCGTGTGTAAGTGAGTGTGTGTAAGTGTACACATGTGTGGTGTGTATGAACATGTCAGAGTCTTTATTGGTTCCCAGTGGGTCGAGCAGAGTTCCTGACCCCATTTCCTGGTGTTGTTGACAGAGAGACATCCAGGGCCCGAGGCTCGAGAGAACAGACACTGCCTGGAGCAGCTTCCTGTCACTGCTTCCTACTACCACTGCATGTGTCATTGTTTCGATTGCTCTTGTTCCCCCCTTTCAATTTGATTGTTTTTAGCATCCGTCAAACTCTGATTCAGTCTTTCTGGACCGTGAGGTCACGACATGTCTGTTAGAGGATTCTCAGACAAGAGAAGGGCTTCTCGTTTATTATGTTGTCATGAGAACTGTAGGGTTTTGTTCTTTTCTCTCACATTATTGAGTATTTAACAATGATCGTCACAGTTGTGAATATACAGTTTACGAGGACAACATTATCTACAAATTCTTTATGATTAACGACTTTATAGTGACGTGTATCGTTGTATGTATATTGCATTTGAAATATATTTTCGCCCACTGTATTATCTGTGCATCATGTCCCTATTTTCATCTTTTGACCTTTGGCAATCTGTATTTGACTTGTGATTATACATTTTAAACATCATATTATTTTTATTTATTATATCTTCACATTAACATCAAACATTTTCAGTTTTCCAGCTGAGAAAATGCAGTCAACTTTTTGTAAATGAGTTTTTGTGATTTCATTACTTTGAATACAGTTTTATTTTGCCAGCTCTTTCGATTTAAAACATATATTCAAATGGAAGAAAATGAAAGAAAGATTTTTTTTTTTATATAAAACAAGCAGTTGTTTTAGACCTTCTTCATTAAAACCTATTATTTATTTGATTCTGGTCAATTGGCCAGATATCAGCTATAGATATGGGACTGTTACCTTTTGATTGGGCGAATGTGACACAAGCCTATAGTGCATCATACTGTACATTTAAAGATTTAAAGAATACAGTTTCATCCATTAAGCAGAAGAAACCCCCCCTGGTTGTTTATTCAGTATGGCTCAAGAGTCAAGGAGAGAAACTTTTAAAATCCAGAGCTCCTGTCTTCACTTCTTAGTTTGATGAGTTGACAGTGTGCTAGCTCATAGGTGCCAGCAACCACAGATTACATGTTTTATTGCTTGATAATTTGTCAATGAACATCAACCAATCAAATCATTGAATTATGAGTTGTATTACATGTTCCTGTCAGTCATTTCGTAAAACAAGCTGTGGCTCCATGTGAGTTGCCAAAGTTTTCTCCAAGGTGTGTTGATGTGTTTCCAGACCACATGATGAAGTCTCTTTGTGTATCTTTGTGTGTGTTTCAGGTTGCTGTCGATTGATTCGTCGGACGTTTTTTCAGACAACATGCAGGAGAAGGGGAGCATCACCCAGCCCTCCCCCCACCCAGGCCTCCCCCCACCCAGCGCTACAGCTGCTACGACCTGGACGACCTGGATGTCTCCTGGCTGGAGCTGGTCAACAACGAGTTCAGACAGATGGGTGAGTGCAGACTGACTCGCAGCCCTCAACTCATAATGAACGCCAGAGAACATTCTGACATTGAAACGAAACAAAGACCCATCATAACATTTCAAAGAGTTTCCAAAGGCATTGAATATTATATTTTTTCTTTTATATAATCACTTACCAAAATGTGTCATGAATGGTGTGGTTTTACTTCAGTCTCATGGACTCATGGACTAGTTGTAACACATAAGGGATTGTATCAGAAACACAGATGATTGTTCTCACCTATAAGAACATATTCACATATAGCAGTTCATTTTAATTAAATATTGCTAGTTGAATTAAATAGAAACGGCCTTCATTTATCATTACAGTCAATGTTCCCAGAGGAAATTGAGGCTGGTTTTGCAGCTAAATTAGATTTTGCACAATTTGCAAAAGGTTATCATTAATGTTTAGGGTTTTCTCTATTCCACACTTACCCATTAACAGTCACATAACCTTTATTAGATATGTACCAAACCCAATCACAACCTTACATTTGTTTATCTGACATTTCCGATGTAAAAGTCACCTCCAAGTCAACTTAGTTAAACTCTCAAAGGTTCTTAAAAGTTGGTTTCTGTGATGCAGATGCTTTTCAGTACATCCTTTTTTAATTTGTGTTCACTCTTATCATCACCTGCTTCCTCCGTCCTCTCTGTTCCTCTTCTTCTGCAGTTAATGTCACTTTCTCTCTCCCCTGCTTTCCTACATCCTCCATTTGTCCATGGTGACAACAACTGCTGACCCCGAGCATCTCTGCCATCTCCACCATTTTATCGATATCTGATCGGCTCCTTTCAGATAAAGCGGAGTAATTGTGTTTATAAATCCCCGCTGGGGTTTCAGGCCTTTATTCCTGGGACATATTCTCCTTAAATCAAACACACACACTCACACCACACATATATACAATAGCCTCCTGCCAGAGCAGAAGTGGGTTGTTTGTTCATAACCTCCAATGCTAGACCAAACAAAACAGAGGATGATTGGTTCTGCTGGGTGAAGCATTATGGGATGATTCAGCATTTTCTATTCCCTCTTGTACTGTATGCATATTTGGGGAGCGAGTGAATTCAAAATGTGAACTTGAAGACTTTGAATCCGGTTATTTAAACACTTTTTAACACTTGATATCTTGCAGAGAACTATGACATAACTGTAGCACACAAACACTGTAAAATGTTCAGTCTGTCAGTAGTTATAGAGAACCACCAGTCAGTATTCAGCTTCATGGCCTTATAATGCATTCAATAAAGGGATAAAGGAACATAATGCATGGACAATATGCAGGATGAATGAATTCGAACATACTGAAAAGTATAGAAAGATATTCAGTCAATGTGCCTGTCTTTTGTCTGTGTGTTTGATACAATGTTGCTTTCAGACAGAGAAGTGCAGTCGTGACTAAATACACACATGATAAATGTCCATGTGCGCACAGCTTTATACGTACGCACATGGAAACAAGATAAATATGAAAGCAAATACACTATGAGTACACACACTCACAGCGGTTGTTGCTTCCCTCCCTCCTGTGTGTGTTCAGTTCATGATGTAAATGTCACAGCAGGTTAATAACAAACTGTACTTCCCTTTTGACGCTTGAAAGCAGCTTTTTAAATCCCAACCATTTAAAATCACACAAGTATTTTCATTTGAATGAAAGTTTTGTGTTGATGGCTAGATTCAAAAGTAATATATAAAGAATTAAAGTTGACCCACCACTTCAATATCATCAGAAAGGTTTATTTTACATTTCCATAATAACTTGGAAATAGTCTCTTCTTTTTTGTTAAACAGCAGCTCCAATGATAAATAACCCTGTTGGCACAGAGATGCTGAATTACCAGGAAAAAGGATTTTACTTTTTGGTTGTTAAAGGGATTGAGTGACATAAATAATAGATATAGACACAGGACGCTCAGCTCCACTTTAAAAAACCTCCCAACTGAGTGCAGAATCCTTCAAATAAATCAATAAATAATCCTCAACTGCAGATTCTACGACAGCAGAAGTGTATTTATTGCTTCTAATAGAATCCAGGCGGTAGGCAACAAGAGGCAAGTCGAAAAACAATTGTAAATACTAATCTAAAAATTATCACCTAAATTAATTGTTTGGGAAAGTCTCCATTAACGGCATTTAATCAAGATTTTTTTTCCACTGTTTTTAACTGTTATCCAATAAATCACTTTTATTATTTATTTATTTCTAAATAAAAGTGGCTTGCTGTCACCAATCTTGTATAATGATTGTAATACCGTTGCATGTAATGAGATAATAGCGTTCCACATCTGTTTGCCACCGTCCAGTTTACTTTACTGGTACGGTACCTTACAATACTTTATCTTTATGAGAATTAAAAAATCGCAGGTTAAATTTAGTTTCCATCAACTATTTAGCAGCCTCAGAGCAAGGCATTACTTTGAGATGCAAATGGAGCAGGAATATTAATGCTAATGCCGACACATATTGGCACAATGAACTGAGCTGTTGGCAAGGAGGCTTCATGACTAATAAGGTTGTTTTTGGCTCTGTTTGTATATGGGCTAGTAGTGACGGAGCACTCTCTGGTTAATATAAGAGTCCACTGAAACTCCACTCACTCCAACATCCTGGGCACATTTGATCCAAAGCTGGCTACCATAAAACAGTCACTGACCTGTGTGATGAGTACATATGAAGAAATCTGCAAGCATTTACAATTGAAGACGTGTTTTAGCGACAATAACTGAAATGTGGTCACTTGGCTCTCTTAATTTGAGTTTCCTGTAAGTAGGTTCCTATTTTTGTTATCCTTGTCGATAACAAAAGCTCAAAAATACTTCAGAGTTTTGACCCTGTAACTGAGCACTTTTCATTGTTCTGTAAAGTCTCTGAGTATTTTCTCCATAACGTATCTCTCTCATTAGAGGTCATATATCAACCTCATATCAACCAATCAAATACACAACTCCTTTTCCTCATACTCCACCCCAGTTTTCTAATTGAGTTTGAGAGGATGAACAAAAATAAATCACGTTTTACTTTCTGTCCCCAGCATTACCAGAGCTGGACGGAGCTGACAATGGAGTGTGTCCTGGTGGAGCTGGAGAGGCATCTGCGAGGAGAAGATGCGGCAGGCCATCGAGGCGGAGGAAGGCCTAGGCATCGAGTACGACGAGGACGTGGTGTGTGACGTCTGCCGCTCGCCAGAGGGAGAGGACGGCAACGAGATGGTGTTCTGTGACAAGTGCAACGTCTGCGTCCATCAGGTCAGAAACTAAGCAGCTTATCAATCCAATTCAAATAGCTTCATTAGCATGACCATGATGACATACAGTATTGCCAAATCTTTCTACAATTGTGACATCTATACATTAATAAACATTTTGAACAAATGCAAGAATTACAGGTTTTCTTTGCAACAAAACACTATACTTTTTGAACATGGACTAGAACAATTAATAAAACCTTTATCCATACATAAATATACATTTGAAATGTACTGAAAATGTATAACATTCATAACAAATGCAAGAATAACATGTTTTATTTAAAAGGAAAATATACTTTTGAACATGGACTAGAACAATTCATTAAGAAAAAGATATGCTCTGTTCAAGCATTTCTGTGAATATATTTGTAAGTATTTTTTTTGGCTTTAAAACAATATTTTTACAGAAGAAGGTAATCACTCTTGGGGGAATAAACAGGTAGAAGCTGAAGGGGAAAAACGTGAAGTACAAAATCAAGGTTGTTCAAAGAGGAAGGTTTGCTGTAGAGATGCCCTCACATATTTTACTAATATTTTTCTCCCTCTGACTTAATGTATCATCTGCCTGAAAGTACATGTTGCAATTTCAGAACTGCTACCTGTGACACCCTGAGGCTGCTGCTGTGTTTGTTACACTGACACAGTGTTAATTATTTTTGTCGGCCCCCGGTGACACCTATGGTTGACACTAACACACCTTCAGTGTGTCATCAGACTGCCTCTGCCTCCCTGCTGTCCAACTGCAGACCAAATATATCATGTTATTCTGTCACAGAGAAATTCTCTCACAATGTGGAAAAAACCTGTATGTGGAATAGAAGTAAATTATTTAGAAAAAGAGGGAAAACAGGATAACTGTAAATCCCATATAGTGATAATTATTTATTTCATGCATTCAATAGGATGACACAAACATCATGAATTTAATTAGCAAAAAGATCAGTAAAGATGTTATATTGTATATACAGTATATTGGAAGCAGTGCACTGTTCTATAGTGCCTCTCCACAGAGCAGTTGTGTTAAGTAGAAGAAGAAGTAACTGGCAAATCATTTAGGTGTGATGGAAACACATTTAGAGCAGATAAAGAAGTAGTTGCCCCACCGAGAGTATTCAGGAATATTATCGCTTGTTATAGAGCAAAACACATTCAGTAATGCTTCTTTAGTAAGGCTTTCTTTTTAACCTTCAGCCCGGTAACAAACAGGGCTTGGGCTGTTAAAAGAGTAATTTAAGGTTTGATCAATAAAACCTTAGATCAATCAAGTCCTTTTACTGCTTTTGATGAAGATGGAGTCTGTGAAGTCTTGTTTTCTCTCCTCGTTGTCAGTGCGAAGATCCTTTTTTATCATATTATCTTCTAATAACTGAGGATGAATTTTACTTTTCAGTAGTAAAACAGTGATGGCCTTCTTCTATGTTGACAGATTACAATTCTGAGATCAGGCTTTTTGCAGCACTTAGTTCTGAAGCGTAGTTGATGCTTCAGGATGTTTGGCCATGAAAATTAATTTGGGGCTCAGCTAAAAGTTTGATTTGAGTCCTTAGAAATAAGATTTGATAGATCTGACACAGAGGTTGTAATAATGGATCAAAAGAAGTGTTGAACACGATTCACTTCTCAGAGAAAAGGCACTTGGATACAGTAAATTATACCTCACAAATAATGATTCTCTCTTCCTGACCCTTGGGCATTGGATCTTATCAAATATAATTCGGTGTGCTAATATGTTGGCGTCAAAACCTTAAATGGCACCCTATTGTTTGGCGGAAGGGCAAATGGGTGGAGCGCTGATGATACAATGACCTGCTGTGATTTTAAAACACCAAGTGGCATTTTGAAAATGTTTGAGAGAAAAGTTTGGGGCAGCTATGAATATGTTCGAGAGGTCATGTGTTTTTTTGAGTGTGTTGTGTGTTAAATGGAGAAGCATTGAGCATTAGCTTAAGGAGCTGTATGTTGAGGCAAAAAGGAGAAAGAAGACTTGCGTTTTCCATGTGAGAATTTGCGGATTTTGATATGATAAAAGAAAGAAGCAGCGGCATTCTGTAATTGCTTTTTTAAGATGCAGCAACCACTGAAATACACTGTTTCCAAAATATAAAAGTATTCTGACATGAACACTAGACGCTGGGGTGGCCATTGTGGTGTAGCTGGTTAAAATCACATCTGGGTGCAAATGCAGCCTTTTTAATCATTCTCTCTCCAGTCTGGCTCCTGAGTAGCAAACAATTGTGAAAAGCCATATTTATTTTGAACAGATTGCTAGAAGTGATACATTTGACTTTTTTTCGTGCTGCTTCTTAGCTCCCAAAACACATTATGCATATAACTCTGAGTCTCCTGATAGTATGGCCTTTAAAAGCATGGCACAAGCTGCACATTGAATCTCAAAGGCTGGAGTCATTGCTTTCAGTTTATGAAAATAAACTTTTAAACAAGAAAGCAATAGAGAAACAGTAATGAAGGTGATCACATTTTAAAGTGACTTAATAGCTGCACATATTTTCATGCATTGACTGCAAGGTACGAACACTTCCACCACTATGGGCTTCATCATGCAAAAACTTTCACCTGGCTCTGTCCAAAGTTAACACAATCTGACTCACTAGCACATTTCCCTAAAGAGCACCAATTATAATGTTGTATTTTGTTTGTTAATAAGTATCATTTTGAACAGATTAGATTTTGTTACAGAGCCTGGCTTTCCCCCAAGTATCAACCTATTTCCCAAGGAAAGATACATCTTAGAAAACTATAAAAAGTTCTCTAAAATCTTCTCATATTTGTTCTTCTTCTCTAACTCTTGTCTCTTTCCTTCCTCCTCCGTGTCCCAGGCGTGTTATGGCATCCTGAAGGTGCCCAGGGGAACTGGTTGTGTCGACCTGCGCCTGGGCGTTCAGCCCAAATGTCTGCTCTGCCCCAAGAGGGGGGGGGCCCTCAAGCCCACCCGCAGTGGAACCAAGTGGGTCCACGTCAGCTGTGCCTTATGGATCCCTGATGTGAGACCGGAGCAGAGGCAGGGGGGTAAAAAAGATCCAGATATAGTACGGTGTTCGTAGCTGTTCCACTTTCCGTTTGCCTGAGTGCTTAAGGTAGCTGTTTCTACTTGTTATGTTTAACTGGTGTAGGACTTCTTCAATCAAAGATAGACCTGCAGGTGTTTTTGTGTTTTATGATCTCAATCACTCATACCACTCAGGAGACTAAAGCTCTCCCCTTCATGCCTTCACTTTACCTGTCAAGGTTGATATTGAATACTTTTTTTTTTAAATAGTCATCTAAAAAACATAGATTTTAAATTGAGAAGAGAGGATTCCTTGTGTCCTTGGGTGCAGGGCGGACTGGCCATTGGGAATACCGGGAGTGGGGCCGGCGGACAATTCACTAGTTGACAGTTGACTAGCGCGGTACCGAGTTGGGCCGGCTGATTTTTAGTCCCAGTCCGCCCCTGCTTGGGTGTTTGATTGACATTGAATAATAAATATGCGTTATTATTAATATTATTATTTTATTTATGCTAGATTAGTTAATTACTAGCTTCTATGTACAGTTCCTGGCAGGTACGCACCAGATCAGTCATCACCATTCCACAGTCTCTTTCGCATTAATACAACCGCATTTCATCTAGTTAAAATATAAAATGTATTTATTTAAAGTTTATGCAAAAAAAAACAAAAACCTGAATCACGGTTGACAGGACTGGTTAATCAATGTCAAACTTTATGTCCACAGTGACTGTAGAGTAAATGTCTTTCCTTAATTCTTTCCTTTGTTAGCTCAGTGGAGTCAGCAACTACCTGAACATGAAGAGGTCGACAACTGTGTGTGTGGGGTTAAAATAGTGCGTCAAAATAAGCGAACTACGCGTTTAAAGATGGTGAATCACAACCACCTGCAAGACTGTGCGTGTTTGACGATGGGGACCGACACAGTTGGCTTATTTTTACTTCTAAACTTGTTTAAACTAAACTTAACTTGGCTTTTTCTCTTCCTCACCCTCATCCCTTTCGGAGGATGCTCAGCTTTTTATTGCACAATCTTTCAGGGACAGTTTTCCTCTCCACCATTTGCATCAACAGAAAGATTCTGTAACCTCCCACTCATTCTTCCTAGAAGTCTACACACCTTACATATTTCTTCAATCTTCATGCTAAGGAAAGAAAATCTCTCCAATGCAGAACGTTATGTATGCTTAAACATAAGTACAAAACGGTTTGGTTATGCTCTTTTATGTAATGGAATTATGAACTGTTCCTTAAGATGTTAGTAGGAACATGAAGGGTGAAATAGCCGGCACAAATGTGTTAATATGAAGCCAGTACGTCAGGGTTATTATATTCGTTTAAAAATGTTTCATAAGATTAATTGATTCCCAAGCTTGTGACACTAATTTAACATTTATCCAGTAGAAAAGGTGTCTGATCATTTGACAACAAATGACCTTGATTTTGGTTGTGTGCACGTTAAATGATAGTGAATTGCAACAATAGATGAACCTGGATTTTGAGGAATAGATCACCTTTCTGTTTTTCTCACCTGGGTTTTTGTGTTACAGTAAATGCTTTGAATACTTCATGAAGCTTCTTCAGTCTAAACATCAATCCCTCAATCAGTCTGTAGATAAATGTAGATTGATTTATATGAGGAATCTGTTTGTCAAGCATGTAGCCAAGCAGCCACCTGATGTGTCTTGATGACACCTTTTGGAGACGTCTCATCTGAGAGCTCCGAAGATTGCAGCTGATTTCAGCGGATGTGCTTCATGCCTTGCGCACACCTTTAAACTGTTACGACAGTCAGTCATGTTCTTCAGCCTATCATCAACACACTCCAGCAGCAGATTTCTCAGTAATAGAGTGACTTTTGGCAGCACAAACCTTCTCCTTTAATTGCCATTCTGTCACCCTTGATTGGGCTAATTGTTTTCGTTGCTCCGTTCGCTTTGTTTTCTCTTCCTACCGTGGAGGGAGGAAAAAAGGATAATTTGGCATGTCTGTGCTGTACGCACATTTGTGCATACACGTTTGTGTGTGCTCGCATGAGCTAAAGAGGCGTTAATAGTCGACATCCACGCAAATAAACACACGCATGTACAAACACAACACACACATCGCACTTGTGGTTTGTAGTTTTTACTGAATATGATGGGAGTGTTCCAGTTAAAGTCTGTGTGTGTCAAAGCTGGATTGGATACATGTTTATGTGTGAAGATGTGTGTGTAAGTGTGTGTGCCTCCAAACATTATAGCCCCCTGCGGTGCTTGTGTGTATGCCTTCAACCCCTAGAGAAGAGGACCCTCCCTTTCAAACGGCTCTTCACTACACACACGCACGCATGCACACACACCACACACACACACACACACACACACACACACACACACAACACACACACACACACACATCACACACACACATTTGCCAAAGATTCCAAAAACCCTCTTATAAAATGCCTTTTTTCAACACTGTAAAGTCCCCCTTTTCCACTGAAGTGATTTCAAATGTTCAATCTACTGGCTTTAAAATGTGAAGTAATTGAGGCTAATAAATATGGTCATTGGGGATTGAGCATGTTAAAGGATGAATGTTACACAAAACACGGACCACTACAACCTTGACTTTTTAAGTATTGACCAACACACGAGGAAAAAAGACGGAGGAAGGAATGGTTGTAAAATGCAACCTCTTTGTGTGTCTGTGTGCGTCTGTGGGCACAAACATTCAATCAATTAACCACAAGCTTTCAAAAAGTGGAAATCTTTAGCCAGTGATCGCTTCACACATCAGCTGTATAAAAGAGGCGAACATTGAGGTGTCAGCTGCGGCTATCATTGTCTGAATTGCACTTTATATTGACAACCTCAAATGGAGTGAAAATTGACCCTTACTAAGATCGAGCTGTGCTGCACAAAAGACATCAATAATAACAGAAAGGCCTTGTGCTTGTTCTGTGGATGAGCAGACGAGAGGAGGGAAATAAAATCAGATATAAGAACAAGTGGACATTAACCACAGAAATCCGTCGTCAGCTTGCTAATGCGAGCGTGAAGGACAAGGAAAGTGGGCAATGCCACAAATATGGGATTTAAGTGGATGTGAAAGTGGTGGAATGGTTTTGTGGAAAGAAATAGGCAGCGGAGGAAGGAAGGAAGGAAGCAATGGCACTTGGGTTTTGAGTGCTCTCCACTCTTTCCTGCATGGCGGGTTGGCACAGGTCAATGACTTTTTGGTTGTTTTTGGTGGAGAAGCGTTTGGGGCCAATGCTTCTCTGAATAGGCCGCTCAGAGAGAGTTAGTCTCACTGGGCTTTGCCATCTTTACAATTTCTCCAGGGAGCACAGATGTCCCAGGCTCTGGGTCCAAGAAAAGACCTTCCAATTGAGATTTTGAATTGGGAGACATGACAACATTATTATCAAGCTTCAATTAGTTGGTTATTATCAATCAGTAAAGACCGACGTTAAATGTAGGTTTGTGCTGAATAAAAAAATGGGGTGATGAAGCATAATCTCCAGCTGGTTAGTCATTATGATATTTTGATATGTTAACAAATTATTATTAATGAATTAAGTGCTATGAGGCATGACAAATACCCATCTTGAATTGTATTTATTAATATTTTGGTCTACAAAATGTGGAAATACCTCACACATGTTTCCCATAAACCCAGTAATGTCTCCGAATGGTTATTTTTTCCCACAAACTGATCCAAATCTAAAGATATTAATTAATTAATGTTTACACTATAAAGGAGAAAGCGCTAATCCTCACATTTTAAAAAGCTGAAACCAAATTATGTTTGTGATTTTGCTTGATTAATTAGTACAATTATTTATTGTTAAATCTTTTATTTTCGGGAAATGTTCTGTAGATAGATTCATTAATAGATTCATTAAGCCACTATTCATTTCGGCAGTAAAATATATTAATATAAAAATGCTATGATACTAAATCGAATGTTATTATGATAAGGTTGAAGCACTGCCTTAATTTCCTCCCAATGTTGATTGTTTAATTGGTTATCACATGGTGCTTTGTATGTTGTTTTTACCTGTCCTCTGTAGGGTGAGTATAGGCTGTCCGGGAAGAAGATGGAAGCCCATTACCAAGGTGTCCCATATCCCCGCAGCCGCTGGGCTCTGTCCTGCAGCCTGTGTCGAGAACACACAGGGACCTGCATACAGGTACGGCAGATAAACACTTAAAACGCATCACCAGTGATTCATGTTGTATTAATGGGAACTAAGTGTCTTACAATTAGACAAAAATAAGAAAAAATTCAATTAATCAAGTTGGGTTACTAAATTTGTATTTGTATCTCGTTTTTTCATTTTTAATCATGCTTCAAAACCTTACTTACTAATATATCAAATTTGTTGCTTACATTCGAACATCCACTTTAACAACATGATTAAGCTAGGTTAAAACCTTGGGTTAGCCTTCAGCTTGTTATTGTTGGATTAGCATACAAACAGTTTGAAAAATAATAAATATTGAACATTTGCACAATTCAATCTCGTATCCAAATGATTAGTTTTGGACTCTGCTTTTCACTGCATGTCGGACATGTTACTTTCATTGTTCAATGTGGCTCTAAAGGCTGGTGGTTTAATATCAAGAGCCATATTGTGTTTATAGTATCCCTGCTCTTCATTATGTTTCTTCTTCTTCATCTTCTCATAATTTCATTCTTAATGCCATGTAAATGCTCGATGTATATCATGTGGAGGTGGTGTTGGAATGAAAACCAGGCTTGAATGAAAGTTGTGAAAGTTTGAATCAGTTTCAATATGAGACCTTTACATCCTAAAAGAACTGATATATTCTGAACAGATGTGCACTTTGAAAAAAGCCTTACAGGAACACACACAAACTACTTGACGTACAGTGTAGCACACAAGTGCTTGCAAAATTGTTTAGCATTATAAATTCAGCGCAGTCACACACACCCCTCTCACATAAAATGTATCTCACTCAGATCATCGTAGTTCTAGCCTCCCGCTGGGCGCGTGTGGATCCGTTTGAAACCGGGGCACCTCTTTAACATGCTGCTGAGTACGCAAACAAACTCCCGCTGACACACTAACACTAACCACTTTACAGCTATTAGCTTACAGACCATTCAGCTTTAAAAGTGCCCTCAAGGTGAACCAGATTTCTAAGTCCCTACGCTAGCTGTATTTGCATGTGTGCTGGATGTATATGAATGTGTGTGTCCAGATGCTTGTTTGGGCAGCACTGAGGATGTGTGCTCTCACAGTATTGATGCAGATCCTTGCAAGTCCTTGAGCCAGTGTTACCGTAGGGAGAGTCTCTCCCTGTTGCTGTGGCGAGAGGCAGGCGCTGTAACACACTCACTGATCAGCTACCGCCTCACACACAAGGCAGAACACAGTGCTAATGAGCAGCACTGATTTAAACGCTAAATGTAGGGGACAAGTATGAAAAAGCCCAATCAGCTTAAAGCATTCTTAAGGTTTCTGGGAGAATGAAAGGGATACAAATATGTAAACGGAGTTGACTTTCTCCTTCGATTTTCTTTATTTTTAAGGCACATTATGTATTACAAATACAACTCCATCAACATTCTTTTCTTCTAGACCACTGTTTATATCAGAATTAATCTTGTGATCTTGTGATCTTCTGTGTCTTCTTTGCAGTTTTCAAGAAAATGGCAGCTATTTACAGTAGATTCAAATGCCTGAAATAGGGTAAAAAAAAACTAAACAACTCGGTTATGGTAGTTGCTACAATCTTTTAAAAAATAGTCTTTTATGGTCTTAATTTATAAATGTATATATCATTTCACTTTTTTGGGAACGTTTGGAAATGTATTGAGGTCTAATACCAGTCTAGTTTGCATAATAACATTTCTTTATCAGGAAGTAGTTCCTACTAAAGGTTATCTTAACAAGATAAGACATAACTAGTGTGTACTAGTATGTACAGAAAAGGGAGTAAGGAAAGGTTGTTTGTGAAAACAGAAGTTGTTTTCCAGACTGAGTCCAGAAGTATCAGTCAGGTTTTTGTCACCACGCTCATAAACAACACAGTAATACAGTCACCATTCCACTGAATGCTGAACTCCATCATCCACCTGCACACACACTTACCAGCACAAACATTGACAAATGTGCACATACTGTATATGCACACAGTGACAGCAAACACACAGCCACAAGGGCTCACACACAAAATCACACCATGCCTGGAGGGACTCAGTGGGAGGCCGCCTCTTAGTATGACCTGTAATGGATAGCACTGAGAAAAACACACACACGCGCACACACACACACACACACACACACACACACACACACTCACACTCACACTCACACTCACACTCACACTCACACTCACACATCCCGCCCCAAGTTACCCAAATGTCAGCAGAAATGGAGGAACCATGTTTGTTTTGACTGGGCTTGTCTCTTTCTGCTTTAATGCACTTGTACTGGAACCTTGATAACACAAGAAATGGACCGAAAATGACACTTTAAAACAAATAGTTGTGACAGAGTGTCTCTGAAATTGAGGAAGAAACTGTGAAGTGGCTCTAAGATAAAGAGTTTGTTCACTATCAAGCATTTCTATCTGCTTGTCTCTTTACTGAACCACATAATTACCTTACGCAAATGGGATTTCTACTTCCCTGCTCTCATTTAGCTCCCTACATTCTGCCTCTTTATCATCTCTCATCCACTGTCTGTCTTATACTACCTTTATTTTTCTGTCTCTGATCTTAATTATACTTTCTCTCTTTCTTCCTTTCCCAGTGCTGCATGCCCTCCTGTATCGTGGCCTTCCATGTGACGTGCGCCTTCGACCACGGCCTGGAGATGAGGACGATCCTGGCAGAAAACGACGAGGTTCGCTTCAAGTCCTTCTGCCTTGAGCACAGCTGCACCGCCAGCAACAGTTCAACCTCCAACAGCTTCTCCAGTCTGGCCAGTGTGAGCCTAGGAACCCACAGCACCAGTTCCTCCTTGATCAACGGAGCAGTCGCAGCAGCCAGACCTGACTGGACCAACCCAGTTATCAGTTCTGAGCTCCGGCCGGACCATCAGCACCTACCAAACATCGGCAGCGACCCGGAGCAGAGGTCAGTTTTGTATCCGATGTTTGCGTCAGAGCGAGCTGAGCGGGAACAGCTGGAGAGGGAGAAAGTGAGCAAGAGGAAACAGAAGCTGCAGGAGCTGGAGGATAAGTTTTACCAACTGGTGGAGCCCGGGGAAGTGGCCGAAAATCTGGGGCTGCCCGTCCCCCAGGTATGTTAAGCCATGGAACTGAAATACTGTAGGGCTGCTAGAATGATTAATCTGTAGATTTATTTTCTAGATTACTCATTAGGGCTAGAAAATGTCTGAAAATAGTCAAAAAATGTTAAACCCAATTTCTCAAAGTCCAAAGTGACGTTTTGTTTTGTCAGTCCAAATTACAAACATATTTATGATATAACACAGAAAAAATATGCATCTCCATATTTGAAGAAAACAGCACTTTTTGCCATATTTTGCATGAAAAATGTTTTTTTATCAATCAACTGATTTGTCTATCAATCGTTACATCTCTAAACTCAAAAACTACGATTTGTCTTACATTTAAATGAGTAGAAAAGATGCTATACATTTGTAATTCACTGTAATAGATAAACCTCCATGTACACAAAATACCTCCTCTAGTCAGGGCATCAGGCATAAATAAAGCATAATGATGAAGAAACTTGACAAAGCTCGCTGATGAGGCAGGTCAGAATAGCAACGCTTGTTCATGCAAACAGGCAACAGATGTGCAAAAACTTTAAAAGTAATGTAGATGCTTTTTGTCTATTAAGAAAAAGAAGCTGAGGCCTCCTGTGATTGGCTGTTCTATGGAGCACTTTTTGTCCATGTGAGCTTTATATATTATAAAATGATAATAAATACAACTTGATTAGGTCTCTACATTTACCTGCACAACATTAGTCTGATCGTTTCCCAGGGTTTCAAATTCACAGTAAATCATATATTATTTGAGAGTGTGGCTTCCACAAATAATTGAATTTAATTATATGTGGTATTGATGAGTTGCATTTAGAGTGCAGGCTCGAGTGCATTAAATAAAGTGCTCCCTGTTCACAGGTAAACTGTCTGATAAATCAGAGGCTTTTGTTCAGAACGTGGAGTAATTAAGTGCCCTCTGATTTCCAAACAGGGTTTTGTCAAAAGCTTTTTTCACTTTTAAAAGACGACTACCACTGTAAGCAAATAGCTTTTTATATATATAAATATTTATATTTTGTCTCTTCATCAAGGTGGACTTTTTATATCAGTTCTGGAAGATGAAGAGGAAGTCAAACTTTAACCGACCTCTGATGACCTTAAAGAGGGACGAGGTGGACAACCTGGCCCAACAGGAGCAGGACGTCCTCTACAGACGCCTCAAACTCTTCACACACCTCCGACAAGACCTGGAGAGGGTGAGTCCAAAATATCTGTGTGTGTGTGTGTGTTTGTTATGAAGCCAGTGACACGTGTTGCTCTCTGCAATGCATTATTCAGACAGGAGCTAATTTTGCCCATTGTCTCTATCTGTGTGTGTTTGCACATGCCGGTATTATATGATCAGTGCTTAAACCAGCCAGTGTTGAGTTTAAGGGCTAATTTTGTTTTTTCAGAATGTTCATTTAAAGTATTATTGACAGTATCATAAAGAGTTGATTTTTGCTTTCATTAATATTATAGTTAAATTAATGAATAGCCTGAAGGATGAAGGCATAATGAAATGATTGAATAAATGGTAGCCCAGTGTTGAAGTGAATATCCACCGACTGCACAGAATTCATTAGATTTTTCTTGTGATCTGTGTTCACTGTGACAGTTTGTTCACTATATGTGAAAGACAACACATATTACTTTTTTAGACCTGTTTTCTAGGTGTGCTTTGGTTTGTGTGCTCCTTGATTTAGGACAGAAGGACTTGAAATTCAGTCTCAGGTGATGGTGATCACAGAAGTGTATGTTTGTCTCTTGGGATGTGGAAAGCCACTAGTAGAGTAGTGTGTGAGTTGGAGTGTTACCAACTTATTATAGTACGGAATTCTGTCTTTTTTCTGAACGAGGGTACAGTATGTTCTCATGAGCTCTTTGCTGAGCACCACTGCATGGAGTTCCCCAGAGACAAATATGCTGATGTTTGTGCAACAGCATGTCATGTACAGTAGAGGAAGGCTTTTATTTGTAGCTTGAGGGAGAAGATGCTGCCAAGGGACTCCATAGTTCTGCTGAGGGATTTCCACACAGAGGAACTGCCTACCGGATCTAAACCCAAGTGGAGCTGCTTCTGTGGTAGTCACGGAATATCAGCCATGTTAAAGCGTGGTGTATTTCTGAGTACTAGTGGTAATAGGGGGTTTGTAATTTAGTCCTTTCTAGGAATGGTGTGATTTTGTTTGTTTAATCAAGGTAAATTACTAGGGATGCTCTGATTGGACTTTTTCAGTCAAGATACTGATACTTGGGCTTTTGGTATCGACCGGTAAAGAATAGTCATCAAACACCAGTTTTAGTTTTTTTTCTTAAATGTATCAAACGCAACATGTTTGATTTAAGCTTTCTTATGAAGCTGCTTTGACTTGTGGTCAGAGGTCAACAGAAGAATCAGCTGATTGAAGTGAAGCTTAAGGAAAAGGTCTTTCAGGCTTGGATTGTCCCAAAACATATTTGACAGGTATGTTCTTGATATTTTTGGGCTGTCTTGGTTGAAAGGATTCTTGGAGTGTTTCAGTATTTATACTAGCAATTGTAGCTTTGACTGATAACATTATTAAAGTAGTTAGCCGTACTGCATACAGTAGTTACTATCGCGGGCCGAATATTCGAATATTCGCTGCTGATTACTACCGAATATCCGGAGCCCGTAAATTGGTATTCGGGACAGCCCTAATAGTTACCCACCTTAGTTTATTCCCTCCCTACTTTTATTTCTCCCTTTAACACCATTTTTGTGTTGAATCAAAACTGATGAACAATAAAAGTAAAAATGTAAGATAATCTTCCGTGAAACTTCTAGTCTGCTTTCCGGAGCTGCTTATTCACCAGTTATAATAATGACAAAAAAAATGCTTACTACAGTTCAGTATAAACCAGAACTTTAGTCTTCCAGTTTTGAGGTCGGTCAGAAGTATTCCCCCACTTCATTCAGGATCGTAGCTCACACTTGGCAGCTGAGCTGAATGCTAACCACTATGTCAATTTCCTTGCTTGGTTTCTCGGATTGGTTGTGCCCATTCTCATAACCTCACTGCAGGCTCATGTTTGCTCTGATAGTTCATTGGCATTCTCTGCACTGGTGCCCTCAAAACCTCTCTCTGACCCTGCATCTACCCTACAGAATCTGAATGACACGCGCTGCCTACAGCCAAACATTTACCACAACCCTGGTGTAAGGGGGATACAGTTTACCCTGGCCTACCAAGGACAGGCAGCTAGATTGCTATGTTGCTTCTGATGTTTGGACAAATGTTTTATATCTCAACCGCAATCTAAAAAACATGCCATGGTATTTGCTTACTTTATGACACTTAATCTACCAAAGAGAATCTGTGATGAAAACGTTTCCTCCACAAATCCTCCTAACAACCAGCTTAAATCGACTTTCTTTCGGCAGACTGTAACGAAAACCAAATTATCTCTTGTCCTATACTGTTTTCCTTCATTTATTTGCATGTGATTTGATATGGTGTGGTTGGCAACTCCTTAGTAGGGTTCCAGCTTATTAATAAACAGTAATTTGGCTCTCAGTAGGCCACCCTTTGGCAATTAGGTGACTGCATGTCAACCAAACGCCCCACCACTCTGTGACAAACTAAAGGAATAATTAATAGGGATGTCCCGATCCGATCACGTGATCGGGGATCGGAGCCGATCACGTGATTTTCACGTGATCGGGGATCGGGAGAAAAAAATTGGGGATCGGAATTTTTTTTTTTTTTTTTTTTTTTTAATAAAATATTTTTATACATTTTATTTAATGTTACAAAACAAAAATGACCATGTTCACGTCTTAAGTCATCCTGAGGCCTTAGTTTTGGGTTAAAATTACACAACATCATGTATGTGTTGCTTCTTTTGGGCTTGTTTTCATAGACCTGGTTGCTTATTTCTCTCAAATCTGGCAACAGAGTGGGCGCAGTGTCTAATAGTAGCAGTAAGCTAACAAGAGGCTACGTTCAGCTGGTGCCTCGGGAGTCGGGACAGAGAAAATGTCAGGAGTTTGGAAGTATTATAAAAATTGAAAGGCGAAGGCAGTGTAACAGCCAGATGCAATGTTTGCAGGCGGAGGTTCCGCGTGGTGGAAAGAACAGAGCTACGTTCAACATGACCAATCTAATACAAACACCACCAACAACAACACGACGAGTACACAGCGGCCACTCAGGTAACGGCACTGAAACAACCGACACTTCAGAGACTTTTAAAAGGAAAGAGAAACTACCCCAGAACAGTGAAAAGGCCAAAAAAATAACAGCCAAGATAGCTGAATTCATCGCGTTGGATGACCAGCCGTTATCTGTTACCTTTTTTTTCCTCTTAATGCATTGCATAAAGATCGGATCGGGAAAAATCGGTATCGGCAGATTGTCAAATTATCGGAATCGGATCGGGAGCAAAAAAAGGTGATCGGGACATCCCTAATAATTAACAAACACAGAGAAATGGTTTTCTCGTTCAGCCTCAGCAGGTAATACCATCTGAGTGAACTAAATAAGTTCTGATTAGACCAATTGATCAGCATGCTATGGCTGCTGGGTAAATTTGGCTTTTTAGATAACATTTTTGCACCTCTTAACTTGAAATAATTTCCCATGAAAGCAGAAAATGTGGGTTCTAACATTTTACAAGTGGCTGTTCCAATTCATAATTTGGATTAAAATGTCAGTGTGCCAGCTGTGAAGATTATGATGGATATATAGTTATCCCTGCGATGGAAACAATACTCTATGGAGGTGTTTGTTTCCTATAGACTTGTGTAACTGAAGCCTTACCACAATGGTCTCCAGTGGTCTGGTTTATTGATCGTTGCAGGCCTTGCTAACTTCCTGACCATTCAGTGCATCCGTACACTCCATAACACCTCTCCCTCTTGACCTCTTCTTTATCGATATGTGTGTAGTAGAAGTGAACCATACCACTCAAAGTCTCTACTCATCCCATCAATAAAAGGTAAAACAATTGAAGACTGTCGGTCGAAAATAATACCTTATTCAACATTGATCTTCCAGTATGCAAAGCACCACAAAAACAGCCGTCTTTGCATTGATCTTATCCCCCGTTTACTTGTTCGTCCATGTGGAAAACCTGGCAGTATTATACATGTTTAATTGAGTAGAAAGTACACAACAACAGGACTAATTAACAACACACGTTTGTAGGGGACACTAAAAGCTTTTTAAACATTTGAGTAGTAAAATTCATACTAAATTAAGTAGCATTGTATCCTAATATCTATATTTAAAGTCTTAAGCATTTAACTCTGCATTAGAGAGCCTCCAGGAAGTAACTACTGTAAGTGTGTCCCACATCTGACAAATGCCAACATACAGTATATTTAAGCCAGACTTGATGAATACTTATCTTATACTATTACAAGTTGTATTTGGAGATATCGAAAAACTATTCTACTGAATAAGACTAGTCCAGTTGTTGGCAGTATGCGGTCAAAAGCACGTTTTATGACTTACTATAACTGAAAAAGCAGTTGTAGGTCATTTTGAAATGTACGACTGACCTTCAGATACGTATGTCTACAATATGTTTTGAAATGATTGCATGTCTAACAATATCAACACACATTAACTACCAGTTATTCATTTTTTCAATGTGTTTGAGATATACTGTATGTTGCAGCCATAACTATTTCAACAGACAGAATCCAACAAAGCATTTGAGCTTAAGCAAGAGTTATATCAAAACTTCTTAATCATGTTAAACCCTTAAACTACGAAACACTTAATATCTTAATAAGCACTTGGGCACAGTTGGCAGTGACCAGAAATATGTCACACATTAAGACACTTGACTACTCCCAAGTTGGCATTGGAACACTCCCTTGGTGAATATTTGTTATAAAATGGTATCCTCTTCTTCAACTTGTATTTGCATTGTGCTCTCTCTGCTATTATACTGTACAACCCTGGATGTTGTCTGAACTTAAAAGGATCTTGCATTTCACAAGTCATCTCATTAGTCCATAAGGGATGCTACAATAGCAGAACAAAACATGGGTGACGACGTCGACATGATTACTATGTGATCTGTTCTGAGGCCGTTTGAACATCAACAAGTTCTTGAATCTCGGGCTGTTTCGAATCGAGCAGAGTTCCTCTTCAGCATGGTTCGACGGCCTGACAGAGGGAGCAGAATTGATTGTGTTTGGCGCTGGCAGGTCTCCCATGAGAAGGATTGATCATCAATTGGT